TCTACAAACAGCCTTGGCAAATGCAACATGTATATATATAACGTTATTCCTTCTACTTTGTGATTGTACTCCACCTTCCAGAAAAACTATGAGCACAGTAACAAAACAATGTTTGATAGCTTATATTGTCTAAATAACATTGCGAAGGCAATAACAGCTCAAGAGAAACATCTCAGATGAACTATAAGTGGTTTGCCTTGATTTGTTTTGGGTTATTAGACAGTATGACTCTGACATACAACACATATACATGGAAATAATGTAAGCTACCCATTCCGTCACACAAATTAATAAAGAAAAACAATTTTCAATTTTACAAGCACGATAGTTCCTGCTAGCTAGCTCTACAATTTTGCTTTTCATCATTGTTCTGGTTTGCTTCTGTCGGGACCTTCTGGTTTGCAGTTTTTGTTTGCCTTGTTTTGGTTGGGCCGTTACAAATTCTGCAGCATCTTGACAGTTTCTTCTAATATACAATGACACATTAGGGTGCTTGTTCGAGAAAAAGGAATCAAACTTGCAAGCATTTCTCTGAGTAATATGGTTAGCTCTTATATCATCGACAAATGAATACCACACCTGTATGTGCTCCCGTGATCGAACATCCCACAAATGGATATGCCTATCGAAGCCACCAGTGGCCAAGTATCGCCCATCGGAACTAACAGCCAGTGCAAGCACCTGCTGGCTTCTCTTCTTAGAGAGAGGAGCTTTAGCATGGTGAGAAACCAACACCTTTTCAGTTGGCCACAAATACTTCTCGCTTTGCCCGGTCTCGACATCCCAATGGAGGATAACTCCATCTTTGGATGCCGAAAACCCCTTGTCGCTGTCCTTCGACAAAGCAACGGCAGTCACTGGCTGCCGGTGCTTGGCTATAAATTTGAATCCATCCTGCTGGCCAGGTGGTAACACCCTGCAAATTGCAATGCCTTGTCACATACATGAGGTGAAAAAAATCCTACTCCATTAATTTGATTTGAGCGAGGCAGTCTAAGCAACAATACAACCGGGTGGCAAAATGGAAGGACAGCAAAAATTAATAAACTCGCAGAGAATTGCTGCTCACCTTGCGGCGAGGCTCAGGCGCTGCCTGCCGCTCTCCACGAGCTGCTTCTTCCGGAGGAGCTTGGCGACCCGCCTCCCCCCGGGCAAACCATCATCCTCGTCGTCATCTTCGTCGTCGTCCTCCTCCTCTTCCTCCTTGTTCCTCTTCACCGCGTCGGCGATCCTCTCCAGGTACTCCTTGGTCATCCGCAACCTCTTCTCCCCGGCCGTCTCCTTCTCCTCCTCCTCCTCCTCCTCCTCATCCCCGCCCGCGACGGCGCCGCCCAGCGCGAGGGTGTCGTCGTCGCTGTCCCCGCTCTCGATGTCCTCGTCCGCGCGGGCGCGGCGGCGCTTGGGCTCCGACTCGAAGAAGGGGTCGTCTCCGGCGGCGGCGGCGGAGGGGCGCTTGCCCTTGCCCTTGCCCCGCGGCGGCGGCGGCGGCTTCTTGCTGCTGCGGTTGCCGCGCGGCGCCATTGGTCGGTGTTGTGGGGGGAGGAAGGGGGCGGCAAGTTAGGGTTTTAGGTTTCCTTTCTGCGGCGGGGTTTTGCGCCGGAGCCCGACCGCCCAGTTAGCACCGTTTTGTGGGCTTTTTGTGGGCCAGTGTTGAAGCTGGGCAGGAAAAAACCTAGGCCCACTTTCACCTAAAAAAAACCTAGGCCCATTTGTGTGGTTACAGATTCTCTTTTATTTATGCGGGAGTTCTTCTCTTCTCAAATTTTTTTTTTATGCGGGAGCAACTAACGCTAAAACAATTCCCCTAAAAAAAATAGCCCTAAAAAATGCGGGAGCAACTTTTTTTTTTGACAAGAAGGCCTTCATGGCTAGTTTTATTCATCTCAAATCAAACTTACATCGTTAACTAAGAGCTTGTAGATAAAACTAGGGGGTGTATCCAACAATGCTCTTCCCCAATTGTCCATCTCAACATCAGACATTTCCCTAGAAAAGACACAATCTGTACATGGTCCAAATAAAAAATGGACATCCAATGGATTTTTCTATACATGGCTCAAGCATCTACGAACCTCCAAACCCAGCTCGTCTACAAGGGATAAACCTTGTCGTCGTCGTTCCAGTGGCTAAGCTTGTGAGCACATAATTCACTAAAATCAAATCGTCCACCATATTACATCAGTTTTCCTTTACAACGGCTGAATTTTTTTTAAACTTGTTTACTCTTCCTCTTTGACATGCTCAAAGCAGAATAATTCACTTTTATGAATATCTTAAGTCCGGACAATTGCTCAAAAAGGTAAATGATTTGTTTCATACTATCTGTCTTGTTCACGTCGTGCTCCATAAAAATTATAGTATTACCCGCTTACTAGAGAATGATACCCACTTCCCGTCAATAGATTTCCTAGATGAGACCATCCACCTAGCCATCCTGCTTACCCCTTGCTATAATGACCACCAACAGATCAACAACAATGTTGAATAGGATTGGCGGCATAGGATCCCCTGGCTGCAACCCCTTCCTAGGTTTTAAAATAGTGGTCGATGTATTGTCACTGATTTTCACCCCGATAGTACCACCCTAAATGACTTTATCATAGGGTTTTCACAAATCCACTTTAAAATTAATCTCCTCGAGGTTCTTAGAGTGCAACTCATGAATAGTTTCATGAAGGACGACCACCCCCTCAAGGATGTGTTGGCAGGCATGGAAGTCGTAGTAGTATGTACCACAATTTGTGCTATCATTGTTAGCCTATTTTTATCCATTCGATATAAAATTGAAACTAACATTTAGCAAATAATTTGACCGAAATCACTTAAACCACGCCACGCCACATCGTTCGACGGAGGCCAGGGAGCGTTTGGTTACTGCATCTGTCCGGTGGGAGATGGTAGCGCGGGATATCTTCAACCGGTTTGGATGGCGGTCATGTAATAGGATAGGCGATTAGTTTACCTATCTTTGTTATGCCAGCCGGTTGTGGCTTTTGGACCTATTGTTTTTGGCGTTGTGGCTCTTTATGAGCTTGCCGTTATTTTGTTTTCAGACTATAAGACCTTGTTGAACCTCTTTATTTATCTATAAATGTGGCCGTATGCATTGTTCTGATGCAGAGGCCGGGGAGTCCCCCCTTTTCGAAAAAAAAAACATCGTCCTTCTTAGGAAGCAAAGTGACCATGCCAAAGTTGAGTTTAAACTTTAAGCAATTAAAGCTTTCGGTTGAATAAGTCCTCAAACATTGGCATCATGTCCCCATTGATAGTCCTCAAACTATGGTGTCTTCATCCATCGATATGAAGTTGAGCACGGGGCGCCCAAACAATTGTTTATAGTAATTAGAAATACATGACTTGGGATTCTCGTGACCCACACTAGTTCACTCGTCTTTTTTAAGTTGGACATTTTTCATTTTTCTACGCTTCGCATCGGCGATCAAATGAATTTTTTGGTGTTATTGCCACCTTCCCTCACGTACCTCACTTTGGAAATTCAGGCCCATTTAATATCCTCCGCATGCAGAAGTTTAGCTATGCTCTTGCTGGCCTCTCTTTTAGTAGCGCATTCTGCCTGAACAAGGGGAGCCGATTATGCTTTGATATCTAATACATCGATAAGACAAAGTATCCTTTATTTTTTAATTTTATAAAATACGCTCACATTCTTAGTTCCCATGCAAGAACCGTCTAAGATGATGGATCTTATATTGCTACCTTTCTCAACATTGGTGGTATCCTAATTCTTTTTCCCATCCTACAACAATCATCTCAATAAAGCCGTCGTTCTCAAACCATGATAACTCAAAAGAGAAAGCCGCTTTGTTCCCCACGTGAGCAGTCTCACTAGAGTCAAACGGAAGGGGATCATGATCAGAAAGTCCCCTTCGCAATGCACACAACATAATTAGGGAAAAGAAATTATCCCCTCTCGGAGCTATCCGAAAGGTGACCCGACTTTTAATAAGTTGGTGTAGCAAGACTATTATTCCAAGTAAATCGACGTCCTGAGAGAGCTATCTCCATCACGCCAAAGATTTTCAATTATAGCATTAAACATAAAAAGTTCATCTAGCGCTGAAATTTTCATTATTCTTTTTGGCACATTAACAAATAATATTAAAACATCCTCCCACAACCATGAATAAATTTTCATCTCCACAAGTACGAACCAACTCAGTCAAGAAAGCGGGTTAGTGCTCAGGTTATGCAGCCCTCTTAACCACAACAACAGTCCTATCAAAGCCGTCAAGTTTAGACCGCACGTAAAACTTAATAATCAACCTAATCCTCCATTTCCATTTTTTCTAACATCAAGTGAACGCCTATTAACTCCTAGCAAAATACACTTGATCTCCCTAGAGAAGGAAGGCCTAGCAGTCAAGTAATATTACCAAGTAAAATTAGGCCTAGCGGTTTCCATAGAAGTGATAAAATCCGCCTTTTGCTCCCTAGTAGTCTCCGTCAGAAAACAACCCTTAGCCGTCAGAGTTTTCTAGGACTACGTCGCAACATAGAAAGGTATTTCCATGCCCGCTCGCGAATGACTTTCGTCGAGGACCACGGCTTTGTGAAGTTCTATTGGATGGACGGCAATAAAAATAGCGACTATTGCCAGAAAGATTATCTCTCGACCACTACAAGTCAAGCATCTTATTGTTCCACATGCGTTACCTCTACACAAATCCCACGCCCCACCTTATGAAAAACTAAACCACATATCCATTTTACACCACATCATATATATAGGCAAAAAGCAAAAATCTATCTCACTTGCCCTTTCGGGCCGAAAGAGTTTACAGAAACAGATTCCTTACGCAAACGGCCTCTTTTTCAATTATGCTATGCTGCATGCGTTGGGGTTCTCCTCGCTGAACATCGAAGTGATCTGGCTCCCATCTCCTCTTCCCCTAGCAGCCGCTGGATGGTAGTAGCATCTTCCTTCTTGGGCTGAAGAGCCCACATGGCCGTACTCTGATATGCGAGGAGGACTGTAGCTACGACTATGTGCTGCGTAATATGGTGCAGCATCATCATATTCATATCTGACGCCATGAATGTTGCTCGGATGGGTTGCCCAATGACCTCTGTACGCATGGTGGCTGTATGGGCAGTCACGCACCATGTATATCATGGAGGTGGCTGGTGCTCCAGCCGATGGTGGCGCCTCTTTGTTCTCTGCCGCGGTGGGTTCTGCTGGTGCCTCTTCTGCAGGCGGAGGCGGAGGCACATCAGCAACCGGGGCTTCCCCTTCCGCGGGTGGCGCCGGAGCTGCAGGCGGGGCTTCTCCCCCTCCCGCGGGTGGCGCCGGAGCTGCAGCCGGGGCTTCTCCCCCTCCCGCGGGTGGCGCCGGAGCTGCAGCCGGGGCTTCTCCCCCTTCGGCGGGTGGCGCCGGAGCTGCAGGGTCGGTGTGCGAGCAGATGGCGGGAACCCTGTTGGCCTTCCTGATGGCCTTGACGATCCTCGCAGGATCGGCGATCCCCACCACCGTGATCTTGTGGTTCGCTTGATCAACATGTACCTCGCCTACACCGTCAATGCCGGTCAGGGTCTTCCTCATCTTGTGCACGCACCCGTTGCAGTCCATCCTTACATGGAGCTCGGTTATTCGCGGTGTCTGCAGATTGATACATGTAGATATATTAGAAAAATGTGCTATCTGATACTCCCTCCGTTCCATAATATAAGACGCTCGTATATTATAGGATGGAGGGAGTAGGACATAAGCGTCAATGACTAGTGTGGTTAGTTACATAGAATCTCCCTCCGTCTCATAATATAAGAGCGTTTTTGACATTACACTAGTACAGAGGAAGTAGTTAATAAATCAAAAAAAATATGCACAAGCATTACCCTAAAGAAAAGCACAAGCATGAGAAGAGAAAAAAATGGTTTGAGTTACACAGATAGATGGGCAGGCTCACAAACCTCTGGTTCGGAAGTCATTCTTGAAGCCTCCGGTTGGAGCTTGGAGCTGGAAGTTCTTGTGGAGAGCTCTCAAGACATTATAAGGCAGGCTGGTGGAATCATGGACAACGCAAGAAGTTGCATTTATATGGAGCTAATGAGCTGAGACGGAATATTTGTGTGGGTCACCTAAGGAATCGTTGGAAAGTGAAAAGAGGGGCCCTTTGATATATACAACCTGCTCTTCTTTTCCATGAGTTGTAGTCGTGGCCGTAAGTGGGTTCCAAGATGAGCTAACAACTGGCCACAACCATTCTAGATCTAGAATAATCCAACCGGTAATTGTTGCACCTGCTATACCTAAATAACTTGAACCCCTATCATGGATTTCGAGATGGAACATCATTTTACCATTCAACAGCGAGCGGTACATTCGTAAATTTCAAGATGATATATCGACTCAGTCTTTCGGAGGTGCTTATAGGAGTAGGTTGTTAAAAGAAAAAACAGCAAGCGGTGCAGCTGCTGCCTTATTTACCTTGAACACCACAACCCCAATGAGTTAAAAATCGACCTGGTTTCCTACAAGACAGTATATATAGAACGGAACTCGGCAGTCATTGAATTCTGCATGACTTGTTTTCCTTCTCGAGGATACCATGGAATGAAATATTAATTATGTTTAGGATGAAATACTCAAAGCAATATTGCTTTGAAACTATATGTCTGGGTTTTATTCAGTTGGGTATAGTTGAGCACCTCCATTTCAAGCACGGCCACCAGTTTGCATTTTTGGCATTCATCGATTGGAGTGCGGATAGGAATATCCCTGGCCGGCCAACGGAGAAGATAAAGCATGAGAAGATCATAGATAGTGGCTTCTTTGGTCACAAGAAGGGTTCTTTTAAAGGTGGAGGATAACCACTCGTGGGAATCCCCTCAACTAAAGAAAGGTATAGCTTCGTAGCCATGTTAAAATCATATATAATGAAAATTTATGCACCTTTTTAGCACTCTAGCCATGGACCATGCATGATAGACATTTTCTGAAGTTTCAAAGTATTATGTTCTGGAAGAGAGTGGATTTTTTTTAGCTCCAGCGCGCTTTTTGGAAAATCTAAAAAACAAATCATATTTTGAAGTTTCAAAAAAATCGGAAAAAATACACATGAACCTACACTACGTCTTCATGGCGAAATATGTTTTGGTGTGAGCCGCACAAGAAAATGGACTTTTATAATGAATAGTGTATGTGCTAGAAATACACGGTTTTGTTTACTTGTACAACCCACACCAAAACGTATTTCGTCATGAAATTTTACAAAGATGTAGTATGCATACCTAGGTTCATGTTTTTTCTATATATTTTGAAACTTCAAAATATGGTTTTTGGATATTTTTTTCCAAATAAAAAGCACTATGGTGCTCAAGCTCTATCTGGCATTTCAGGTTCTAAAAAGCACTATGGTGCTCAAGCTCTATCTGGCATTTCAGGTTCTTGAATTCTTTCTATAGCAAACAACAGTTTGTTTGATTACAGATAAAAAAAGTGTATTTCTATGTTGTGTCAGTATAATGTGTCGGTAGCTCCAACGGGACCCTCTACTACTTCATCCCCATGTGTCCGGACCAAAAAACGCCACCCAACCGGATCCCTCAAATCCAACCCATATGTCTGGGTTGTCCGACACGGCGACACCCCCCATATGTGCGCCGATTTGGGGTCGCCGGGACATGTCCGTCACGCCAGATTCCGCCAGGACCCATCCAAATCCCTTCCCCCCGCGCATGCGCCGTTGCTCTCCTCCGTCATTGCTCCATGTCCACGTCGCTGACCTCCTCCAAAAAACCATATTTTGAAGTTTCAAAAAACAATCTGAAAAAATGCACATGAACCTACAGATTTATACTACATCTGCATGACGAAATACGTTTTAGCGTGAGCTGCACACAAAAAATGATGGACTTTTATAGTGACTGATGCATGTGCTAGAAATACATAGTTTTCCTTTTTTTTTGCACAGCTCACACCAAAATGTATTTCGTCATGAAATTTTACAATGATGTAGTATACATATGTAGGTCCATGTCTTTTTTTTCTTCAGTTTTTTCGTGAAACTTCAAAATATGATTTTCGAATTTTTCAAATAAACAAGCTCTACTTGGCATTTCCGGTTTTTGAATTCTTACTAGTCAATGTGTATGTGCAATGCACGTTTTGTTTTTGCAGATGTACGTGCAATGCACGTTCATTTGGAAATATTTGTCAAAATGTACGTGCAATGCACTTAATTTAGAAATATATTAAGTGCATGCGGATATTAAGTATGATATTATTTGCGTGTTATTATGTGATTAGCACTATATTTGGCATGAAATTAACTGCATGCTAAACGTGTTGAGCGCTCGACATTGAAGCAGTCTAGGTCGTTAGATTGATATGATTTAATGGTCAAGATTAATTGAATCTGCCTCTTTGAGTATTTTTATATTGGTATAGATTATAGCAAACAACAGTTTGTTTGATTAAAGATAAAAAATATTTCCAAATGATAAGTACCACACGTGTGGTACAAAGCAGTTCAGACTCAGATGGTTTTTACAACTAAAGTTGTCATCCGAAAAGAATAACCAAACCCAAAAAAGCTGAAACTTGTCATCCGAAAAAAGTTGCCATGCTTGACAACTAAAATTATCATCCTCACGTCGCTAAACTTGCCAAAAAAACGTTCGAAGTTGTCATGTGTTCATGCCACACATGTGACACTTATCAGGGCCCAAGATATCTGTACCTCTCTGTTGTATAAGTAATGGATCCTCTAGTTTTAACAAGATTAGAGCATCTCCAATCCGACCCTCTATTCCACCCCATGTGTTCAGACCAATAAACAGCACCCAATTTGATTCCCCAAATTCAGCCCATATGTTTGGGCTGTCTGATAGGGGAAGCTCCGCCTAAATCGAGGGCAAATGGGATGGCCCGCCCACTCTGCCTATGAGTTCTTTTTTTCTCTTTTGCTTTGTAGTCGGATTTTCACCAAAACCCGGCTATTAATTTTTAGGACCAAGATATTTTTAAAACTATCATTTTTTAAAAAATAGCTCAGTATGTTAAAGAAATCAAATGTATATTAAAAAATCACTGCATATTAAGAAAAGGTTTCTCTATAGTTAGTAAAGTTTATCAAATATTCAAAAATGTTCTATATCAAAAAAATATTCATCTTATATTAACAAATCATTTGAAAAATGTTTATCGTGTACTAAAAATAGTTCAATGCGTATATGTAAAAGCTTTACTGTATATTATAAAAATATTTATCGTGTATTATAAAAATTATAATAAATAAAATGTGAAAAAAGAAAAAAAAGAAGAAAAAACCAAATCTAAAAAGAGAAAAAGACATAATTTAAATTAAAAAAAGCACATAGAGGTAAAAAGGAGAAAATGCCAATTTATAGTGAACAAACAAAAAAAACAATGCTGGGAACCCAGCACGCTGACCGTCCCACCTCCATCAATAGCGGCGAAGCCACCCCTCACTCGGTGAAGCCTTGTCTATTTGCCGCATGCCAACAAATAAGATCTACCCTAAACATACACGTTTTTTCGAGAAAAATCTCGACCTATTTTTCTTCAATGATGATAGTACAACAAACACTGAAAACAAAATTTACAAAGACAACTACAAGCACTGAAGCGAGTAGAAGGCGCGCCGGTATCACCGCCCCTCTGTCGCCGGAGTCAGGCAAAACTTATTATAGTAAACAGTCAAAAAAGTTGTCGGACTAAGGCCTCATAGGAACAATGTACCAAACACAGCAAGCACTGTCAATGAAGAGTATAGGTCGAAAGCATTCAACTTGAAGACACACGAATGTAGAAGAACGAAGACTAGATCCGAGCATATCCATTAAAGACAACCACCAATCAAATCATGTGACATACCTCCACACGTTCCCTGACAATGCAAAACGCACCATCGGGGCGGAGGCTAGGCGGGGGAACATTATTCCAACTTCAGGAAGTTGTCGCTGTCTCGCCTTCCCGGGCAGGACACAAACCCCAATAAAACTCGAAGAAATATCTAATAAAAGAGCCCTTCCGTCAGCAAGGCTGAGATCCACCATGCCCCCATAGCCCTAAGGCCACAAAATATGAGGTGGATCGACGACACCACCTCCGAAAGGCAAAAATCCTAGTCGACGAAGGGGTAAATCGAGCTTCTTGATGTTATTCTAAACATACACACTTGACATGCAAGTCAAATGGTCCTTCGAGACTTCAGTATTTTAATTAGGCCGAGGTATAAGATTTAGATTGCTACAAAATATTATATTGAAGGTTGAGATCTCAGTTGACTGAGATTTAACCAAGTTTTGGTCAAGTTACATAGCATGCAAGAGAGAAAATAAAAAAATTGAAAACAAAATGTTACGCACATCTAATGTAAGATTTGACAAATTAATATAGCATCGACTGAGACTTAATTAATTGAGACTTAGCAAGACTGCATATTAAATCAGCTAACCATACTTTCGTCAAAAAATTCTTAACAAATAAAACGACACTACTAGTAGCTAGTACATCAACTATTTTGCGATTGTGAAAAATAATGGACGTACAGATCACTAGTCTAATGAATTCCTGTGCTAATTAGCTGCTAGCTCCGGCAATTTCCACGGCCTTGTGGCCGCCTTCTTCCACCCTGGCGGCGGCAGCCTCGGCCGCGAGCACCTTGGCAGTGTCGTAGGAGGCGTGGAGGCCGACGAAGAAGTAGTACACGAGCAACGCCACCGTCCATATCGCGAACCTCATGAAAGACTTTGCATCGATGGATCCGAGCAGGAAGATGTTGATGAAGATGGACGCCGACGGCAGCCACGGCACCAGCGGCACCCCCCACATCTTTGGCACCCTCGCCTTTGGCACCCCGAGGTGCAGGTAAAGCGTCGCCGCGAACCACGCCGGCACGGTCACCACGTATGCCGCCCACCCGCCGTCCACCGCCACGCCCCAGTACACCGCTGTACCGACG